CAGGGGCACCCAATGGATCTGTTCCTCAAAATATCTGTTCTTCATGCAAATTTTTGCTGGCTGGGAGATGTGGAAGAAATAATAGTCCTTGGAAGGAAAGTGTTGCTGGGAAAAAGATAATTCAGGGTGTCAGAGGGGATTTGAAGTCTAGAATAGCTGCTACGGGTTACTTGTATGGGTTGCTTACCACTCAAGAGCTGAATTGTGCCCTATGAAACTTCCCAGTAAGTCAGGTTGCAGGTTGTAAGGTTGCTGGCTGGGAACTCTTCCATCGGTCTTGCTGGGAGTGAGGAACAGATAATTTTTTTCCAGCAATCTCCCAAAATGCTTAAAATAGTCTCAGAAAACTTTATTCACGCTTTGTTGTTGTTTTTAGGTCTTTTTCTCAAAATTTCCCGTTGGGTGCCCCTGGTGAAGGTCACTTTGGAGAGGTAAATATTTAAGGAAGGAGCACAGTATCTTTTACCACAGGGTAAATATGCTCCTTTGCTAAAATTATTAAGATGGAGTCCATCAGGAAATTGAGTAATTAACTTTCAGTGGACAAAAACCTTGTACCAGAATAATTTAAACAATATCGCATTCTTTTTTACATTTTTGAAGGGCTACAGATATAATTAGTTATCTGTAATAACACCAAAGACTATTCCTCATGGGAGCCCGAGAAAATATGTATTTCAAATTTCACAAGAATTGTGAAAGCACGGTTAAAATTCGGAAAATTTCATGTTTAAGATGTCATTCTGTGAAATTTGACATAAATATTTTCTCTAGCTCTCATAAGAAATTCTCATTGGTGTTATTACAGATAACTTATTACATCTATAGCCGTTGAAAAATGTAAAAAGAGTGTGATACTGTTTGAATTATTCTGGTACAAGGTTTTTGTCAACTGAAAATTTAAAATTACTCAATTTCCAGATGGATTCAGTCTTAAGTTGTTTGGCCGTAAAACATCAGATAACGAAAATTTTGGCAACATCTGATAATTCATCCAACTTTATTTCTATCCTATTGCAAAAAGAGATGAAATTCTGCAAAATGTGCTGGAAAAGACATGGTTTATAAATTACTCTTTTCCTTCTTAATTCATAACTTTGAAAAATTGACAACTTGGAATCTAACGTTCGCCGTTTGTCATAAACGTCATTCTAAGCCTCTTTACTTTTGCCTTTATACTTACAAAATACAACAACGTGTCTTACGTTTTCTCGTATAAATAGCGCTTTTGTATTTTTTTTTTGTAGTTGGAAAGAATTAATTTTTTGTTACCCTATTGCGCACGGTAAGAGCCAAGGATATCTCTCACAAAACAAAAGATCTCTTGAGGAGGGAACTACTTTTTTTCCATTTCCGAAATTTCGGTTGTTTTGTCAGCCTTCTTTAGTTTCTACTGTAGTCAGTGTCGGGATGTGTGATTGATCTCATTCAGAAAAAAACTCTAGTAGACATTTATCGACAGTAGTGACGCCAAGTATTTCCCCTTTTATATAGCTATTCCAAGACTTCTTTGTCTTTGTTTTTATATTGAATATCAGTGCTTGTTTTTTATTGAATTTGTTGTTACGCATTCAATGAATCATGGCGCTGTTATACCAGGCAATCAATCTTGCAGCTTGTTTGGCGTTTTTGTTGCGAAAAAGGTAGTTTCAAGACACGTTAGACAAAACGTAGTTGAAAAGTTTGCGTGCAATAACCGGTATGACTTTATACTAAAGGTTGTGCGTCAAGGAAAACTCAAGGCAAGGTACAAAAAAGATCAACTGGTATAACTGGTTAATAATTAAGTTACTTGTGTACTTTAGATTCGTGTCAAGGTGTTACGATAACTGATGAATTTAAGACTTACTTGTAGTTTTTGCTGTAATGTTGTTGTAATTGTTAATGATTTTTTAATACATGATATAGCAATATACTTCTTTAACCTTCAGCTTTATTGTTAACAAATTTTTGAAGCCCATTTCGGGGACTAAGGAAATGACTGCAACAAACTATAAAAACGTGTTAAGGAGCTCCGCTACCCACCCCTGGCCCTTGATCTGTGTTCAGTTCTCTGAGACCTGTTTACCAAGGGCGGATTTAAGGGTGGGCCCAGGGGGCCCCATTCCCCCCTTTTGTCCGGGAGTTTTTTTCCTTAAATATTTCAGCATTACCTTTTCAATATGGAATCCGGGTATTTGCGTCCAGAATGGACCAGATTGCATCTCAGAGAACTTCAATCTCAAAAATTTTCCCGGAGGAGCATGCGCCCGAAACTCCCTAGAAAAGTGTGCCATTCGCAGTCCTGATGAGCGCTTTCGCGCCCATATTGCCACCGCAGACCATATCTCTAGGTCCCCTCTGCCACAAAATCCTCTGTCCGCCCCTGTTTACGTCGCAATTGCATTCTCCCAGTACCATTCTCCTCCCAGAGATCTTCTCTATTGCGCATGATTACAAACTAGAACGCGCGGAGTCAATAGCCTAAGCTCTGGGGTCGAGAATGATACAGTACCGTGCAGGTTGGTGATTTGCGCATGCTGAGCAAAGTTTTTCTTTCGCTTTCTTGCTCGTAATATAACACTCTAGCGCGCGTGAGAGACACGAGAACAGGGAATTATAAATAAAATTAATCATTTGTAAGTCACGGTGCCCTACCCAGACTGCTATGTTTCAAGAGTTTTGTCACAGGAAAAGAAAATACACTCTTCTCGACAAGATGTTATGTTTACACGTGACATTTGCAGATAAGCAGGGCTGTTATTTCCCCTGCTTGAGCTCAGCTGGGGAACTAACAACCCCCTGGGGGTACTCCCTATAATGGCCTATACGGTCTAGGCGGGGAGGCTTCGTCCGAAAGGGATACTTTTTCTGGGTTCAGGTATATTATAAAAAAGGCAGGAATTTAACTTGTTCAAGGTTTGTTCAAAGTTTGAAGACAGTGCATTTACAACAGTTAAAAGGGATGCAAAGTTCTTAGACTTGAATCCTAGGTATGTGAAAGGGGTACCATTAGTAGACCACGAGTAGTCCCCATTTTTCCTGAGGGACAGCAGAGCGAGCGAAACGCGAGCGCGCGTGAAAATCACCCTACACGAGAAGGGACACGCGTTTTCCCGGGGTGAGCTTTACGCACGCTCGCGTTTCGCTCGCTCTCGCTCTGGGGACTGCTCATAGTCTTTACCATTTTCTATAGAGGGTTTACGTGAAATAAGAAGATACTGTGTAGCACGAAATTTTTGCGGGAGTTTATTTTTGAGGATTGGCGATTTTTTTGTGTTTTGCGAAAACTAATTTTTGCGATTGGGACAGACTGGGTTTTCTTGCTGGGAATTAACTTTTGTGATTTTCAGAAAGTAACCAGTACCTAGCATTGATAATATTTTCGTTTTTATAGAGAACGTGTAATAGAAATACATATTTTCAAGCACTTAATAAAACAGTATTTCGTTGTTTCTGAATGAAAGAGACAAGTTGTGATTACATATACACGATTTCTTAGTACTGTATTTTTGTGTAGCGAATTTAAGAGAATCTTTACTCTGGAGTAAATTTTTGCGGAAAAAATGTTAGCGGTAATTTGTATTTGCGAGAACTTATTTTTGGGGATCGCTGGAAAAATCGCCAAAATTAGAACCCCCCAAAATTTCCTGCCACACGGTAGCTCTAAGATAGCAATGAATTGTATTGCTTAGTTACTGCTTAACATTTCAGTAAACTGCTGGGTGTCTCATTATTCCTTGAGCTTGTGTCATTTTCATTGTCTCGATCCCACCAACGAAAGTGCAAGAAATCTACACAGGCTAGTGTCGTGATATAACTAGTCGCGACATGTTCTTGAGCTATAGTTGCTATTTCGAAATAAACGGAAAACGTGCAAAGAGCGATAAATTCAGCGGTCGTATTTCCGTATTCCCGAGCAGTTTGACGTCTTTTTATTTTGTTCCGTGATGATCAATTAGGGGTAGGTTAGACTTTCAAAAACGACCTTCGTCGGATTTAATATGGTGCGGGGCCTCTCGCGACTTCTACGCTCGGTCGGCCGCTTCGCGCCGCTCGCCAAGAGGCTGACTTGTAGCAAGTCTAGACGAGGGAAGAAGCTTTATTTTTCTTTCCCCTCGTCTCGCGCGCTCCCTCTTCGCGCGCCGCTCGCGTTTCTCTCGCGCCTTAAACTCACTTTCCCCTTTCAAACGCCTGCCACGTAGTCTATGAAGGGTATGGTTTTGAAGCAGTTTACTCTGGGCATGGGCTCCTGGCCAGGTATATATAAATCAGAGAGTTTGGGTCTAGAATAGAGTATCATTTTCCAG